GGATATTATGTTTAGTGTCTGTAAATGTGCCAGGTTTTAGTCAGCTCCTAAGGAATCACATCTGAACGCAGTAAAAAGAATTATTCGATATCTTATTGGAACTGTTTCTCATGGACTATGGTAGCCTCGCTCTAACTCTTTTAAATTATATGGTTTTTCAGATGCTGACCTTGCAGGTGATAAGGAAGATAGAAAAAGCACAAGCGGAACGTGTCAATTACTTGGTAAAGTATTGATATCATGGAACAGTAAAAAACAAGCATCAGTTGCACTATCTACTACTGAAGCTGAATACATCGTTATTGGACAATGCTATGCACAATTATTGTGGATGTCCCATCAACTTGGTGACTATGAAATTTCTTTTAAACCTATACCAATTTTCTGTGATAATTCTAGTGTTATATGTCTCTCTAAAATCTTGTACATCATTCTAGGGTAAAGCATATAGACATCAAACATCACTTCATTAGAGATCATATCCTTAAGATAAATATAGAAATATCTTTTGTTGGAACAACTGATCAATTAGCGGATATTTTTACCAAGCCTTTGTTAGAAGAGTGATTTTGTTCACTAAGAAAATTACATGGCATTATTTGCATTAATAGTTAAAATTAGGACCTATGTGCCTTTATTTAATTTTGTATGTAAAATATTCCATATCTTTTTCGTACTCATTAATTATGCCTCCGTTTTCCCTCCTTTTTCCTCTCTTTTCACATCAGTCGCAGAGTTCAAAGAAGGAAAACCAATCATCGCGTCTGATCAACTGGCGCCTTTTCTTTTTCTGTACTCAGCCGTTAGAAACCCTCTTTTTATGCTGAACTCTCTTTTCAATCTCCATCGTCTCTATCGCCTAAAAACCCTTCTCCGAAACCCTGCTCAACCAACAACCTTCTTCAATGGCTAAACAATCCCAAAATCCCTCTGCCTCCACTAGAAAGAGCACCCACTCCAGGGCAAAACCCCCTTCTCAGTCGCCTGAACAAGTGGACCTAGGGTCCGATCATGCTGAGGGGTTTGCCTCCTCTCAAGAGGCCTCCTCTGATCATTCTCATCCCTTAGGAGAAAAAGCCCTGGGAAAAAGACCCATGGAAGAACCCCCTGTCTCCTCCACTCCAAAGAAATCAAAAATCGACCTTTCCAGTTCTCTTGAGTCGGAACTCAATTTCTGGGATTCTCCAAATAGGGACTTCTTTCTTGCCCTAAAAGACAAGCCTATTGCTCATGGGAGGGTAGTTGACCTTGATGACATGGAAGCCCTAAATTGTAAGGTAAAGGACCTTTTCGTTTATCAAGGGTGGTCGAAGTTCTTCTCTGTTCCTCCACCTAAAGTCTATGAACTCCTAGTGAGAATGTTCTATGCTAATCTTCGTTCTAGTAGGTCTGATAAGTTGGAGTCCTTAGTGTTGGGAAAGCGTATTGTTCTTGACTGTGCCATGTTTGATTCGATTTTTCAGTGCAAGTGTTCTGGTTTCCCTATGCTCTTTAAAAATTCCTGGCTCAATGATTTTGAAATTTCCTTTGATCAAGCCAAAAAATGTATTGCTGAGTGTCCTTCTGAATCCCTTCCAAACCAGCTAGGCCCTAGTGATGTTAGTTTCGAAACTCGTGTCCTAGCCCACATTGTGGCAACCACTCTGCTTCCCCATACTGGCTCTTTTTCCACCTTTTCTCTTCGAGATACTTTTTTGGTCTATTGCCTTGTGACCAAACTCAAAATCAAATTGTCCTCCTGGTCATAAATTTCATGATTGAAAGTGCAGAAGATCCCACTAGTCTACCCTATGGAATGGCCATTACTCACATTCTGGAAGCTCACAATATTTCCATCTCTGCATATCATTTTACCTTTGTTTCCAAATCGTATAACTCCAGATCCTTTGCAAGTATGGGGTATGTGTGTGTGAAAGGTTCATGGGTCAAGAAACAAGAAGGAGATGTCAAAACTGCTCATACAGACTCCAAGCCAAAGCCTTCTGCTTCCCATCCTAGCCACAGTGATCCTGATCTTGCTGAGAAACTTAGTGCCATTGACAATCAGCTCTCTGCAATCAAAGAAAGATATTCTCATTGCCACTCAGTCCACTGTTGGTACCATTCATGCTATCTCTAAAGAAACAGGATCTGATGTCTCCAAGATACGGGTTGTGGTTCTCAGAGTAAGGGAAAACGCTGTCAAGGCATTCAAGGAGGTTCATGACAGGCTTGATGGAATGAGTGTCTCGGCCAATGCCAGCTTTGACCGACTGAAGGAGGCCATCTGCAATACTCTTACCTATTTTATGCGCTGTTAATGTGGAAGTTTAAGATAACATTTTTTTGCTGTGCTGGTTTTGGACTGAGATATCAGTCGGTGGATAATATTTTTTGTTTTTTTGGACTGTGTCGTTATGTTCTAACTCTGCTAGTACATTCTGCTATGAATCCTATTTATGCATGCTGCATTTTTTTATTCCCTCTTTGCTGATGTCAAAAAGGGGGAGAAAGGATATATGTATTGTGCAGTTACATAATAAGTCGACTATGGGTAAGTCAGCCTTGGCACTCCTTGAGGGGGAGTCTCGGAACCTGAAGAAGTCGACTACATGCGCCTCAAAGTTAATTGATCTTATTGAGGGGGAGCAACGCCTCAAAGTCAACTGCTCTTGTTGAGGGGGAGCAAACTACAGGGAAGTCAATTGCTGTTTATACATATATATTATTTTGTCATCATCAAAAAGGGGGAGATTATTAGATCTAATTTTAATGATGAAAATAATATATTTGCTCTTTGTATAGGAACTCTTGGATAGCATTCAAGATTGGAGAAATCAATCAGCAATGGTCAATGATCGTATGGATTGGTATACAAGATTGACGGAAGCAAGCAGAGGACATCAAGGAAACGAGTCGCGATTAAAGGAAGAAAACGATACTGGCAGAATCTTTCAATGCTAAACTAAAGGAATCAAATAAATCAAGTATATTGAAGATCCTGCCGAATATTCAATCAAGCGTCTAAATATGGGAGAATCAAGACTCTAGGCTCACACACAAAGGAAAATCCTTGCAGCCTCTCGTCCGAAAGAGTCGTTGCGGAATAACCTTATTCTTGGAAAGAATCAATCTCTTTCCAAGGATCAAATCTCTTGGGTTGGAAAATCTTTCAAGAATTCAAGCCTCTTTCAAAGTATTTAAACTTGTAATCTCTCCTTAGCACATATACTTTGATCGAACCAAACACCCTCTCTTTGTTCTACTGCAAACAAACATTGTAGCTCTATTAAGATCTGTTGTGTAACAAGTTAGAGAAGAAAGAGAGAACAACACTGGTGAGGCATTGTATCAAAAGAGACGAGTGATATAGGAACTAAGCTATCGGTGTAGATCACACCATTCTCTGTGTACTCGAAGCAACTCATTCACTGAAAAGAACTCCCTTGCAACCCAAGGGGACTGGACTAGGATTCACATTGAATTCGAACCGGTATAAAAATTCTGGTGTCTTTAATTCCTGCATTTAATTTCAGCATCTTAAATTCTGTTGTTACTGCAGTCAACTCATTACATCTAGTCGACTAATTGAAAAACTAGTTAACTGACTAAATTGATAGCACATTGTTAGTATTTGTTCATTTTCCTAGTATGTTAAAATCATAACATTTTTTAATTCTTTTTCAGCTGCTCTTTACTTATTTATACATGTTTAAGTGAAAAAATAAAATGCAGGATCGAGCTGTTGTTAAACCAATTGTTTAAAATCCACAACTAAAAGAGTATCTATTTCCGATCATACAAAATTGACAGAATTTTGGTCGGTCAAAACACCGATGAGAAAAATGGCCAATTCAACCAAAATTTGCAAATTTTATATTTTCCAAATCGTTAATAAACAACCGAAAAAGATCTATTTTTTAGTTGAAAAAACTCGGAAAATATATTTTGTGACATATTCGATAAGTATTTTTAACGGGGAAAAACTTTTTTCAAGCAACCGACCAAAATAGTCAATTTTTATAAAAAATAATTAAAATTCTTTTTAGAGATCGACCAACTCGGTCCATCTGGTATTTAAAATAAACACTTAGTAAATTCTCCGTATAATCAACCGCAACGGCCGGTTATTTTGTAACGTCCCAATCTATCGTTATAATGACCCGGCGGTCGTTTTGTAAATTTGAGCCCCCTTCCCCTGTTTGATGCTTCCCATAGATGTAGTTGTTGTTATATGACTTTCCGGTTGGTTGGTTTGGTTTTGTGGAGTTTTGGATTAAATTGAGACACTTAGTACCTTGGTTGGAGGCTTAAGTTATGAGGATTGACCGGAGTTTGGCTTTTGTGTAGATGACTCCAGAAGGGTGTTTTGATGGTTCCAATAGGTTTGTATGTTGATTCCGGACTTAAGCGTATGTCCGCATTAGGATTTGGAGGTTTCTAGGTTGATGTGGTTCTATTTGGCGAAAGTTGGAAACTTGAAGGGTTGGAAGGCTCATAGGTTTGACTGAGAGTTAACTTTGATGATGTCGGGTTCGGATTGTGGTTATGGGAGTTGGAATAGGTGTGTTATGTCATTTGGAACCTGTAAACAAAATTTGAGGTCATTCTGAGTTGTTTAGGCAGTTCGGCGGTAAGTTTTGAATTTGAAAGTTTGGATTAGTTCCTTAGGCCTGAATTGAGGTACGATTTGTAGTTTTGATGTTGTTTGGTGTGATGTGAGGCCTCGAGTAGGTCCATATTATGTTTTGGGATTGATTTGTGTGATTGGACAAGGTCCAGGAGGCCTTCTGTGTGTTTCGAGGTGGTTTCAGACCATTTCCCCTTGTTTTGAATCAACTGTCTTCTGGTGTGCTGATGTTCAATGCGATCACGGAAGGGAAATCGCGATCGTGGAGGGTGTTTGGCGGCTGGCATCTATATGGCGGTTTAGATTTCCATCTAGCAATGGGTCACAGAACCATAACAGTTGTTACATTGCACGTGATTGTTGAGAAAATTTATCTTCACATAATGGGATTCAAAAGTACATGCAAACTCAAGTTAGATGGTATTATTTTGGAAGAAGTTACTTAACATATAATTAAAGAGGATACCATCCTACTATATCATTCTAAGATCAGCTTTTGCGAGAGTTGATACAACTTGAGATTAACTTAGATTACTATGTCTATTTTCAACTCGAGATTTTCTGGATGAAGCATCTTATCTACCACCTCGCACATGGTAGGTCTTGCATCTCTATCTTCCTCTGAACACTGCAAAGCTACTTTCAATAGAATTTCCATTTTCTCCAAGTCAAATTTACCACTTAAAGATGGATCCACAATTTCTTGTATCCATGATTTCGTTTCACTAGCTTCGCGCATCTTCTCTCTAATCCAAGTTACCAACACCCCTTGTCCCATAGCATCATTATCCCTGCTGCTGCCGCCATGAACACAAACTTCTGGACTCTTGCCTGTGATCATCTCCAATAAAACAATTCCATAACTATAAACATCAACTTTTGAGGTAATAGGCATCTTAAAAACCCATTCAGGAGCCATGTATCCTCTAGTCCCCCTTATCGTGGAAAAGCTCGAATTATCCAAGCCACCTCTATTTAATATTTTCGATAGCCCAAAATCAGCAACCTTTGGCTTGTAATTGGAATCTAAAAGTATGTTCTGAGGCTTTACATCACAATGCAAGACCCATTCCAAGCACTCTTCATGCAAGTAAGCAAGTCCTTTGGCTGTTCCTAAAGCAATGTCAAACCTTTTCTCCCAATCAAGTTTGCTGGCATGCAAATTATCTGACAAAGAACCACACTCCATATACTCATAAACTAGAAGCCTGTGCTTTCCCTCAGCACAATATCCCCATAATTCTATCAAATTCATGTGATTAAGGTTGCCTATAGTACTCACTTCTGCTAGAAATTCAGCTTCTCCTTGATAGTTGGCTCCTCCACTGAGGGACTTTATAGCTGCAACTCTATCGTCAGACAATTTTCCTTTATACACAATACTACCGCCTCCTCGGCCTATCTCTTCACTGAAATTAGAAGAGGCCTTCTTGAGCTCAGCATAGGTGAATTTCTTGAATCTTGTTGAAAGTTGAAGGTAACCTTGCTTGGTTTCATGTGAGCCTTTTCTTGTCTTAATCCAGTAAGTTAGAAAACAAAGAATCTCCAAAACTCCAGCTACAACAATTGACCAAATGAATGACTTTATCCAACCATGTTGTTCTTTTCTTTTATAAGCTCTGTCCAGCATCACTTTTTCATTGCCACATTGGAGATTTCCTTTATAATTCGCTTGCCAAGTTTGCCTTCCTTTAGGCAATTTCACATAAACAATATCTGGCCAACTTGATTGGACATAGCCATTAAATAAGAGTGTTTTTGGGTAACAACCATACGTACCATTACCTCCAACAAACTTGTACTGGAAACCCTTGCAATCACAATGTTTCAAGCATATATTCTTGCATTCCTGCAACGTTTTATTATGAAAATATGCAATATCATACCCGTAAAACTCAACGTGGTGAAGCGGAAAGAAATCCATTGAACTAGTATCATTGCAAGAAATGGCGAATTCTGGTTCACAACCATAGGACCAATCTGTGGGATTTCTCATCCTGTATCCTGGTATACAAGAACATTTTCTGCCAAAGTAAGGATCATAGGAACACAAACTGTTCAATCCACAAACTCCATGAACCCTACAAGCTGCTATAAATAACTGCCAAGTAACTCTCCAAGTGTTACTCAGCATATCTAGGCTGTACAATCGAATATTGCCATCTACATCAAGAGTCAATCTCCTTCGCAATTCCACACCATAATCAGCAGATTGGAATCTAAATTCATCACTCGACATAAAATTTCCCAAACGGTCAAGAACTGCAGTTTTGCTGTCATTGTAGGTGGACCGACCTGCAGAGGCAAATGGACTACATAAGCAAACAGTTCAACTGAACCAATATTTTCGATAGGAAGCACATATATAAAAAAAGACCTAAAGTTGCACCAATTAAATTTAAATTCTGAATCAGCCTCTACTGACCAGCGGTATAGGTTTTGATGATTGACAAAGGTACACATGCATGAACCAGGTTCATGAACACTGTACACAAGTTACGGCCAGAATCAAGCAAAAAGCATGCACGTGCAAGGGATAAGTATAAGTGGTTATTACTGACCTGCATCCCAAACAATTAACCACGGGCTTGGCCAGAAAACACTTGTCATCTCTATGCCATCAAAGACAAGATGCAGGACATTATCCTCATTAAAATGTACCTGGTAAAATCCAGAAGAGAAATTGGTCGAGCTTCTACGTGACACAAGCTTTGAGGTCTTGGTAAGTAGTTGTTCAGAAAGAAGTGTGTCTGTAGGTGAATCAAAGCTTTGCCAGATTTCTTGACCTTCTGAAGTTACAAGAACAAGGTTGCCGTTATCCAGCAACCTTAATTCAACATATGAACTTGATTGTGTACCAGATTCCCAAACATTGATCTGATTCGCATCAATCAGTACGAGGTTGCCTGATTTGAGCAGGGAAAGATGTGATTTTCTTCCATTTATAGGTTGATCACGGTTAGCCATCCAAACAACGGTGTTGTTTCCATCAGCCAATGGCTTAGTGAACCATATAGCAAAGAAATAAGCATTGTCACCAACAGAGTAAAAACCAGCTGTGAATTCTCCATTGGGGGATGAAAGAAAATCTTGTGGAGCAGAAAGTGAACCTTCAGATAAACTAAAGATTGTTGAGGATGATGAAAGTGGCAATGCAACAAGTGAAGCCAAAACAAGTATCAAAATTGGTACATCCATGTAATAATTTGATATTCTTCATACTTGAGTTTTGAAATATATAAATTCAAGAACGAGACAAAAATAGTAATGTTGAAGGCGGCTAAGGTAGGGACAATATTAGTAGTGTAGTTGAAAACTGAATAATTTTTGAATCAAACAGGAGACGACAGATATTAGAATACTTTCTTCTACCTAAAGAGAATGATCATTTCTCAACTCAGAATTATTTTATTTCGTTAATCTCTCTTACAGAAATTTAAATTTCTTCATGATTTTTCTGTTTCTAATTAGCACAGTATAAAATTCCACAGGTGGGGAGTTAGTTTTGTTATAGGGTGCAACTGAATGTTCAGACATTAATGGATATATATACTTACCTGTGATTTAGTCCGTCTAAGTTTGCTTATGAATAAATAGCAAAGTTGTAATATTTAATGGAAATGTAAAACGAAAAATACTGAAATACTGGCGGAATGGTTCATTCACTATTAATTTAAGAACGCCGACTAAGGATTATTTGGTCTAAATTCCAAGAGCATCGCCTTATGTTTCTTCTGATACTTAATAGATTTCAAAGATTCGTCTTCACTATATAATTTGATCTGATTACTACGAGAACTCAGGCCAGTGGCGGATTTAGAGCATTGTATATGGGTTTCCGGGAACTCAGTAACTTTTGCGTAATACATATAAATATCTTATTGTGAACTCAGTTATTATTGCATATTAATTTGAGAAAACCGTAGGAATCCACAAACTTCAAATTCTGGATCCGCATCTAACTCAGGCCACAACGTTCTTATACCTACAGAACTTACTGCTAATTTCGTTTTTCTTATCCGAAAGTTCCCTTCTACTTTCTGGTAATTTTACCTCCTATAGCAAGGTATACACCCTATTTATTATAAATCAAAATTATTTTAAAATATTATTTTCTATAGCTACCTTTTATATTTTGTAGCAAAATAAGTATTTATGGTACATACTACCATTGAGTCATGAAATACGCTATTTACGTTTTTCCTCTCTCTTAGACAACTGGACATACCTATTTTTAAGGTGATTGGCGTTACTGTATTCATAAATACATGGCGGGAATACATATGAATACATGCGCATACAACTTGACTGCCCTGATTTTAGGACGCGAATACATGTGAATACATGCACGTACAGCTCGACTGCCCTGATTTTAGGCGCTTTTTGCTGCTTTATTCGTGAATACATGGCGCGAATACATGCGCGTACAGCTGGACTGCCATGATTTTAGGCGTTTTTTACCGATGTATTCATGAATACAACAGCGCGAATACATGTGAATACATGCGCGTACAGCTGGACTGCCCTGATTTTTGGCGCTTTTTGCTGTTGTATTCATGAATACATGGCGCAAATACATGTGAATACAGCTGGACTACCCTGATTTTTAGACGCTTTTTGCTGCTGTATTCATGAATACAGCAGCGCGAATACACTACCATAACTACTGAATTGTAGCTATAGGAAGTAATTATATATATGGTTATTATAGGATGTGAATAACCACTAAACAATAGTGGTTTCTGAAAATTCTTCTTATCTATTTGGCTGTTATAAAAAAGTGAAAAAACAATAGGAGTACTACATATACAAAAAGACATTTAGCCCGTTCAAATATGCAAAAGAAATCGCAGGGTCCACTGTCCCCTTCAAACAATAACAGTAGGCATTCAACATATCAATTTATGGCAGACGGCAGTCTTATGTCCGCGAGATTGACTGATTCTTTGATTATAATCAGGATAAATAATCTCATCTTCTACGTAGATAGATAGTCCCATGATTTTTGAGATTGAATATTACTGTCGCACAATAAACTAATCTTTTGTGACCAAGGTTCAATTATTAAAATTTTAAAAAATTAAATCGGGATAAACCGACATATTACCAAACAACTTATTGACTTTTAAAACCCAAAATAGGACAACTAAAATTTATTGGTCTGGAATCATGAGCAGTCTATGTCACACTAAATCATCTTCTAGAAAAATTCTAGTCTGGTGTATTTTAATTTTCTCAAATTAGCTCTTCCATAAGGAAATTAAATGATCTGGAAAAGTAAAACAGATCGATGATTTACTAACAGCTTGTTTGGATGATCGTTTCCTATTGTATCGTATCGTATTGTTATTTTAAATACGATATTTGTTTTGGTTGTTACTTAAATTTTATTGTATCGTATCGTTAAATCCGTCGTTACGTAACGACGAAATGTGCCACTTTATGTAACGACCGATTTGGTGTGGTTGCATCGTTATCTTGTCTTTTTCTCTCATCTCGCCCTTCACTATTATTAAGTTATTTTATTTTATCATTTACCCTACCTTTTTATATAATAAATTTACCCCGTATCATAGTTTTTCTTTATAATATTGCAAATTTATTCTTCATATTGCTGGTACATGATATAATGAAATAACGGCAAACGACACAATCTATCCAAACATTGTATTAATCAAACGATACAGTACAGTATAATACAATATAATACGATACATTATGAAACGACGTGTAACAACCATCCAAACAAGCTGAAGTTGGTTTTCCTTAATTAGATACAATAACAACTCTAGATTGAAGTCTTATTTTTGCGTTATAAGGAACGAAAAGACGACTGACCAATAATTATTCTCGTCCTAATTAAGGACTAGCTGGTCTAAGTTATTAAACCATCATGATGATATTAAACAAATGGTTGATAAATAAACGATTTTATATGAATCACTTCTATTGGAGAAAAAATAATTTTAGAGTAACGACTAACCTTTTCTATTAGAACAACCGATCTTATTAGAAAAGTGACTAACTCAGGTGATTAAGAAAATTCAAACGAAAAATGCCCTAAAATTTCACTTTTCATTCTCGGGATCAAGGTTCAATTCTAACTTGAGTCTTTACCTATTTTGTAGAAATCTTCATTTATAAAGAAGGTATACAGACATAAAACAATTCTGGCTTCTGCCAAACCTGGAATGGAGTATGGCAAATTCATCAGAGATTGTAACTTGATGGGTTTGACTTTTAAAATTAGCCAAATACATACAAAGCCCTTGAACTTGGCACCAATTTGTACTTCAACACTTTGACTAAGGTTTGTTCCTATTAAACACTCTAACCTTATTTAATCTGTACCAATCAGACCCCTCATGACTAACCACTACAAAAACTATAGAACGACTAAACAAAGACTCATGTGGCTTTTAACTTTAGCTAATCCCAAAAATAAAGTCTTTCAGCAAATAATATAAAATTAAAATTGGGGTAAACGTATTGTCGGCCGCCACATTCTCCTGCCGGTCATCTTCTTGGGGTCCCATACCTCCCACTGTCCTTCTTCATACAACTCACCCCCCCCCCCCCAACCTCAAACAGTTGTTCAGATAGCATTTGCAGATCCCCACTCCCTGTCTTATTCTATAGCCCCCCCCCCCCCATCCCCCTTTACACTGCTATCATCTCCCCACCGTAGCCCCTACTCTCTATTTTCAGATACCATGAAAGAAGAAAGAAAGTACGTTTAAAGTCGACCTAATTTTAGTTTGTAGTAGTTAAATTTTGTTTGAATTTATCTGAAGTTGATGTGCTTTTTGTTCTTCCCAAATGAAAGAAAGAAGAGGTAGAAGTTCTCAGCTGTACTTCTTCTATTTTCCTCTTTTTTTTTTTTTGTTGTTAATAATGATTTATGTATATATTAATATATGTATGATATGTATCGCCATCAACCACCACTTTCGGCACCCAACTCCACTGCAATCACTACCCAACAGCCGCCCTACTATCCTCAAATCGTTCATGATTGGATTTACGTCTTTAATGAGTTTAGTGTAAGGAAAATCACTAGATAATATTGACTATGAATATCAAGGAAAGAAGACTACAACTTATCAAATATATTGTGTCGTGGCAAGTTATTGTCTTGAAAGCGATTTCAGCCTGACTGTGTGCAAATCGTTAAGGTCGGTCGCTCCCCAAGGTTCCACAGCACCTCCAAATACGTGCACTCGTGGCTGGAAGTTTAAAATTTGCACAAAACAGTTGCCCAGGAAAAAGAGAAGATGAATGTATTTTATGTGTTGGATAATTCGCAAAGAAGACTAGGAAAAAAGGAATGATTAGCTAGATGTGTTCTTGGTTAAGAATTGAGTGATTATGATGGCTAATTCATAACCTATTTATAGGAAATTAAGGAGGTTGCATGTATGACAAGTGTCGAAGAGACTTTTGACACTTGTCCCATTATGTTAGTCCACTTGGCTCCAATATTGACAAGTGTATCTTGTCTTCCATGCATGAAGACAGTTGGTTCCAATATTGACAAGTGTATCTTGTCTTATATGCATGAAGACATATGGTAGATTTGCATAGCCATTTGTCAAAGCCATTCAACACTTGGTTTTAAGGCTTCATGAAAGAGGCCACTTAGAAATAGATAGGACATTTGAAAAATAAAAAAACTCATGGCTATTGGTTGTAAATGGAATTTCAAAAAGAAATTTTTGATTTTGCATTATGAATAATTCCAACAATCCCCCACTAATGCAAAGACAAAAACAGAACAATTCTGGGCAAAAGAAGGAACATGTACTTAAGTGTCAATATTTTTCGATTTGAATTGACACGTAGTGAAATAAGGCAACAACTAACATCCACAAAGTGAAGTACTCTTGAACTGAATGGACATTAGCTGAGACCCCCACAACACATACTATATCCTTAATTTTATGCAAATTCTGCGATACTAACAAAGTGCTTTTATGGTCATGCACATACCTTGGGTCTCGTGAGTGCTCTAGTAAGGCATCCCAAGTCTTTCATAAAAGGCGACCGCACCTTTACACTCACGTAGGTGATTCCATCAAGTCTATCTACACATAGACTACCTTAAGGCTATGAAATCATTAAGAGCACAATAAGCCCAACCTTATAAAGCACTACCACACGCCATAGTGATAGAAAATGTAGTGCATATTGAGGTCTCATATGGCTTCGTTTGACCACAAACGAGTATCCACCATAC